TGCTTTGCCATGTTTCAGCTTCGGCTCGACTTTCAGGGCAACGGCGTCCTGCCCCAAAAGGGTCTTGAGAGGTGTGACGCGTCTGCCAGAGCACGTTAGTAGGCGCGCGATGTTTGACCAGCATGTTCGTAATGCGTTGGCGTAGCAATGTGTGTCAAAGTTTTAGACATCGTCGGGCGAGACACCGTTTGCAAATACATGACAGACTTGGAGCTCGGACATGTGGTGGCAGCTTTTCGAGAAAGCGCAGTGGACGGCCGCGTGCTGGCGTCCTTGTCAGAGGCAGAGTTGGTTGCTGAGCTTGGGCTACGGCCTCTGCAGGCTCGCAAAGTGAAGAGCCGTCGAATGTAGAAATTCAGACTGAGAGTTCCGGCGCAAAGGACGATTCTTTGAGTCTTGCAGCTGTTCTGGCTATGTTGTTGCATTTTTGGGTCAAGTTCCGAACTCAGACGCAAGTGCTTTTGCACGCCTTGGGCGGTTTTTGGTTGCCTGGGCCTGTTCCGTCCCCTTTCCCCCAACCAAGCAATGTTGATGGACTGCAGCTTTTCACTTTGCGTTTGTTGTGCCCTTTTCGCTTTTTTGTTTTTTGCCCATGGCTGTTGGGCCGCTTGCCTGTCCTCTTCGAGCGCAAGCCTCAACATTGCTCAGCAGGGGGTCAGGGGGAAGAGTTATGACCTGTTTCAAGTTTGCAGCTTTACTTTGCCGCAGGCTTCAGTGCATTTGTGTTCTAGTTGTCCATGGCTCCAAACGCAAAAGCAGCTGCTGGTAAAGCGCATGCGCAGTGACTGAAACGGTTGTGGTTTAGACTGTGTTTGGGGCCGCCGTCTGGGGCCTCTTCTGTAATCCAACTTCTCTCAAAAGCAGTCGAAAAGGTTGCCAACATCACCGTACCACCATAGCCTGGGCTTAGCCATGGTGGAAATTTTCCAGCCCCACAAGCTCAGTGGCTGCTTGACTCCCGCCCCTAGGTGATCCACCAGCGTCCATAGGCTCCATTTTCAGGGCAACTGTCCGACTTCTGCAACATGCCGACCAGCATCGAAGTTTCCCGGCCCCAAAGGTTGAAGTCCTGAACCGGCGGCTCAGCGCAAGCACGCACGTCTCCGACACGTCGCGGCTGACCTCTGCATTTTGTTTTGCTGCGGCCTGTGTCGCATCACCAGGGCCAGTCTGCGCAACAGTGCCTGGTCCAGCGCCGCACACAGTCCAGCACTACAGAAAGAACAAGGTTCTCCTGTCGAACCGCAATCCAACACATCAACATCTTGTGGGGCAGCCGCGTCAGCCGTGTCGCGCAGCTTCAGCTGCACAGGCATGACTTTACGCAGCAATCTGAAGCTCTGCGAGAGCCAAACCCTGGGCGCCGCAGCGGTGTGCCAAGACCAATCACCAACTTCTTGCAGTCTTTGCTTTTGGGCTTTTCTTTCTGACGTATGACGTAGGGGGCTGGAGAGGCTAGTCTTCTGGATGTAGGGGGATGGGCCAGTTGAAAAAGCATGGCTTGGGTTTTTGTTGCCAGAAAGCAATGCTGTCATCAGAAAGACACGGCCAATGACGCATGCGTCATTGCAACCTGTCCAGCGCGTTCTCAGCGTCGCCGCAGCAGATCCAACTAGGCCGGATTGCTGAGGACTATCCACGCCTCCGGCGTGCAGGACAACTTTTGCGGGCACGCCAGTGCCAAACACGTGTGTCATGCTGGCCTTCCAAAGCAAAGGCCGAGCCAAAGATCGTTTGCTAGCGCGTACTTGCACAACCAGGCCCGCTTGCCAGAGAAAGCTTCCACACAGTCCTTGCATACAGCCGCAGGAGCTTTGCCGCTCGCCATGTCGTCTGTGACGGCAGAACTTGCATTGGATCTCAATCTGTTCCCATGTTGACACTAGATCCTGGCACGGCACAAACGCGTCAACTTCGACGCGCGAAATGTATGTCCAAAGGCTTCAGTCTTGGGAAAAGACCGAAATGTCAGCGACTAGCTAATGCCACAAAGACCTTCGCGACCAGCGCGCGCGCTCATCGCACTTGCGCAGCGAAATGCTAAGTTACAGACAAGGCGATGGAGGGCCTGCCGCGCAAGTAAATGCTCACGCCCTTAGGAGACAGAGAACAAGCGCAGAAATTCAATCAGAGCCCCAAAATACCAAAACCATGTCAGCAACCCAAGCTGTCCTGCTTGGAACCCTTGGGTGCGTTGTTTGTGTTGCAGTTCTCAACATTATTTTGGGAATGCTGCACTTATTGCAGGTTTTTTGAATAATTTCCACGTGGGACGTGGTTCCTGACATGTCATATGGTTGTGCGCTTGGGTTTTGGAATTCCCGAGCTGGATTTGTTGGCAGTTTCTTTTTGGGACATGGTTGAGGCAGTTTGTGTTTTTGATTTTGCCGTGTATGTGTGTTTGATTGAGTTTATGTTTTTGGATTTTGTGCATTTACTGATGTTTTGTTTTGGAGTTTCGATGGTTTCTGAGATTTTAGGATGTTTTTGGAATGTTGCACTTCCTGAGTTGGTGTTGAATTGTCACCTGGTTGTTGCTAGTGCCGCCGCAAGGCGCCTGGTCGTTTCACGGCGTTTCAACTGTTTTTCTGTCGTTCCACGCCACGGTGGGTGGGGGGGAGGGGAGGTGGGAATTCACTGCGCTGCAGGAGAATGCATCTCAGTCTCATGTCGGCTCTTTTCATCGTGTTGAGCACCCGCGTTTTAGTTTGCCGCATGAGAATTAAATTCATACATCTCAGCTTCATTTCGGCCTTTTTTGTCGTGTTGTCCAAGAGGTTTCCGGTTGCATCGCCGGCTCTCAGGGGGTGTTCAGCAATGTACAATCCTCGCGCGGTGTCTCTTTGCTTGTCTTTTGAGTTGCTCTTGCGCATTGCTAAAGTACCGCCGCCGAGCCGCTCACCGGCTCTATTACCCTTTTTTGCTTGATCAGCGCATTGATGTCTTTGCTACTGTTTCGGTGTCAGATCCAGCTTTGGATTTTGTAATTGCTGCTTCTGCGATGCCTGACATTAGTTTGGGGGATTTCTAAAACCACAGTTGTTCATTGAGAAAAGCTGAAATCATTGGCAGGCGCATTGAAACCAAGAAGGGTGAGCCTTGCAAATCAGAGGCGGCTCATGGCGTGATGACCTGTTTGAAGAATTTCCAGGTGGACGTGGTTCCTGACATGTTATTTGGTTTGTGCTTGAGTTTTGGAATTCACGAGGTTCCTTTTTGATGTTTCGCACTTCCTTAGGATTTGTTGGCGGTTTCTTTTTGGGACATGGTTGAGGCAGTTTGTGTTTTTGATTTTGCCGTGTATGTGTGTTTGATTGAGTTTATGTTTTTTGATTTTGTGCATCTACTGATGTTTTGTTTTGGAGTTTCGATGGTTTCTGAGATTTTAGGATGTTTTTGGAATGTTGCACTTCCTGAGTTGTTGTTCAATTGTCACCTGAGACATCGTTGCTGACATGTTGGGTATTTGTTTTGAACTGCCAAGCTCATCCTGAACAAAAGCATAGCGCGCGTGTGGGGCTTAGTTGCTGACACGTTGTTCGTTTTGCATCTTGCTTCGCATTGCATTTTGTAATGACCGCGTTGTTTCTGGGGATTTTGTTGGGATGTCCTAATTTCGCACCTGAATGGGACTGCCCCCTACTATTGGCAATTCTACATCACAAAGACTTAAGCTTAGATTTCCACACTTACCTTAGTGTTGGCACTTTTAAGCCAGGACGGAATTTCAGATTTGGTTGCCGTGTATGCTGTCAGTGATGAGAGCAGGCCACCTTTTCAGTTCACCAGTAACGCATGCTCATTGGCAGCAAGCACTTAACGAACATGCCTGCGTTTCTCTGATGTAGCAGTGAACTCCCCCTGAATGCCTCATAGAACCTTGTTTTGTTCAACGCCCTGTGTGATTGTGTACATGTTTTCCACAAATGTTCAATCAAGTTTCCATGCGCTTTCAGTGTGCATTTCTATGCACTAGTACACGTTCTATGCACGCTTGGTTCATCTATGCACTTCCCCTTGGCTTCTATGAGTTGTTTATTAGCTTTTTGAACAGTGTATTAACAGTGTATAGAAAAAGCGTAGGTAGTTCGTTGAAAATAAACATAGAACAAACGTGGAAAGCCCACAGAACATTCACATAACGATCATGGACACGTCCTAGGAACGCCAATAACATGTCTTCAGAAACTTGGTTTTGGCCAGCTGCAAGGCAGCATCAAAACCATGTCGGTTTGCTCTATTTCCTTTCTTTTACTTTTGCCTTTGGTAGATGTTGGACCAAGCCCTGAAGCCTTCCTGTTTACCTAGCATTGCCCTGAGAATGTTTGGCAGTTTCTTTCCTGGGTATGTTTTTTCATTTTCTCTTTGCTTTTGTTTTACAACTATACTATATCCTTTGCATCTGTGCAGTTGTCACCTGGAAACTTTCCGTGATTATTGTCAAAGAACGTTCATCACCTTTGTTGTTCCCCTTTCTCAATGCAACTTTGTTATCTTCCTTGCAATTTGCCTTGGGTTTGGTGGCATGGGCCTTTGCCAAAAAAGGAAGATGAACCCGGAAGGTTGTTGACTTTCTGGAATTCCGGGCGATAGACACAGCAGCAACACCCTGGCAGCACCACCAGCAAAGCCACTGCCAAGCGAGCTCGGGGGCAGAAAAGGCAGGCCTCAAAAAGGCCTAGACGCAGATCCTATATAGAGGCGGGAACAGCAGCAACGACGGGTGTCTATCGCCACTTTTGCACCCCATATAGGAGAGATATAGGACACACTTTAGCAACATCCCTGGCCGAGACACAGGCAGGCTTCGAGCCGAAAATGCTCCAAGTATGACCCTTTTGGGAAAGAGAGACAGAACACGCTTGCATTGTGAGCCTTGGTAGGTCCACAAAACCTAGAATGACTTCCATCCCACGCGCCTCACGCTTGGGACGAGGGCTCGGCGGATACACAACGCAAGTTTCCCTCTTCGTGCGCATGGATGTCATAGCTGCGCCAAGGCCGTACAGCGGGAAGCCGTGAGCCCAGTTGCAATTGCGGCGGGCGTCAAAGGCAGGGGAAACTTACAATATTGGGGGAGTGCCCATTATGGGAAAGAAGCACGGGTGTCTTTTTGAGAAGCATCAGACGCCGCAGTGACACGCGACCAGTTGAAGGGCTTCCACATTGAGGCGGCGCAATGTTTGGACGGGAAAGATCATGGGAAATGACCGGCTTTGCCAATTTGGTAGCCAACATTTCCCGCTGCCCGGACCCCCCGGCCCTTCAGTTCACAGTCCCCCGTTACCGTGAACTCCAACAGTTAGAAGGAGTGCCTCCGTGTTGGGATCGGATTTTAAAAGAAAGCTCTACTTTCGCAACTTGAGGTGGGCAAGCAGAGGGAACAACCATCAACAGTTCATATGTTTCCCGGAAACTCTTAAAAAAGGCTGCAAACTTTTCCTGCCAACTTCTCCTGATGTTGCTTAAATCTAACAAACCCAAGCCTGCCGGGCGGAACAAAGCAAGATCCAACAAAACGACCCAGAGTTTGTCCTAGGCGCTCCTAAAGGGGAACTTCTTAGGTTTCCAGCGTGTTGCTCTGGAGTTGCTGGTTGTCCGTGTGTTCCACACCTTTTCTCAGGACCATGAACAAGGTTGGCATGGCCAAACCGTCTGCTCCAGGTCAACCCCGCGCAACGGTTTGTCCGTCTTGATGCTGGCTGGATGCGGGGAAGGGGAAGGAAGAATCTGCGCTCAAATGCACATACCGTTTGGGGGTTACAGGGGATCTGAAGATCAGAAACCACGCGTCAGAAACTTCACTCGTGTCAGAAACTTGCGAAGCTATGTCTTAAGTTAAGCACACCCGACAAAAGAGAGGTTTCCCGCAGCAATACTTCACCAAGCAACCAGCTTTCAATATAATTTGCGGGGACGAGCTCAACATTACCATTCAAGGAGCGCAAGCTGCTCAGTTGCCGTGGCACCTGCGCACGGGCGCTTCAAGCAGCCCCCTCTTCAGTTCAGAGTTGGTTTAGGATGTTGCCACGACTGGGACCAATTGGCTTGTTCTTAGGGGGCTGACCAAGCTACAGTTGCGACACATGCTCCATATGTGAGCTCTCAAGGGGATGTCCTCGAATGGGAGTCGATCATGATTCCCATGTTGAGCGTCATGAGGTTGCCAGAACCCGAAACTTTGTTCCTTTGTGTGATTTGCGTGGGGATTCCTGATTGGGGGCCTGTTTCGGGCCGGTGATATTTCACCGCGTCGGTTTCTTGAGCGAGTGAAGAGATTATGAAGAACGTTCACAGAAATCCTCAACCTTTTGCGGGTTTTCGACTTGACGGGCCGGTGTGCCAAACAGAAGCATGAAACAAGACCCATCAGCGCCAGGACAAGGACGACTTTGAGAAAATGGGGTTGCGGGGCAAGCTGCGCCTGCCAAAGAGAGAGGTGCCAAGCTGTGCCGCTTGCGGGCATCGTGTTGGTCCCTTTTGCACCCAAAGGAAATGCTTAATTTGACCCCAAATCACCCGGTTGAATGTTGAATGTTGAGGACCATCAAAGACGTGGACCCTCCTTGAGGGTTCCCTTCATTTCCACTAAACTGGGAGTGAAGCGGGGTCAAGAGGCAAACTTTGCGGGATAATTAAACAGAAATGATTTGACCGGAAACCAAAGAAAGTCTAATCGTGCCATTGGGGTGGCCCCTGACGTGTTCAGCTTGCCCTCAGCCAATAGACTTGTCGACCTTTTCTTTTGGTTTACTGTGATCCATTTGTCGGCTCCAGCAGCTTAGCCTTGTTCGTCCCTCTGTTGGGCAGTCGCAAAGTCAAGGTGGGTTCCTTGAAGCCGCACATGCTTGCTCGTGTTTGGTCACCCTTCAACCTGGCAGATGGATGCTTCCTAAAAGAGGCTACCCAACAAATTTCGGGTTTCCTTGTGGTTTTTCTTTAAAGTCAACCAGCAAGGGGCGCTTTTCAGGAGCTGCTGCCTGTAGGCTCTGATCCAGAACTTGCCGCGCGCATTCGGAAAGACATGCAAAGGAATTGGTTGCCCTGTTTCCCCAACACAACCAACTTGGTTAATCCAAGTTGGCCGCCCATCCAAGTATGCAGGGCCCACAGCTCTCATGTTCCGGATGCAGGCAGATGACGAACATGTGAGCAAACTTGACATGATACTACTTTTGCAAGATACACCGGTAGCGGAGAGCGACTCCGAAGTTTGTGCTTGTTGGGGGCACTGCGGGAGCTTAAGCGCAGGTGGGCTGGCGTGACCACCCATTTGAGACCCCTGCGATTCGGACGGTCACAGCACACGCAGGTGCAACACGGGCGCAACACTGGTGTAACACGGGTGTAGCACGGGTGCAACACGGGTGTAGCGCGTTGTAAAGCTCGAAGAAACCATGGTTATATTCCTGAATGCCTGAAGGACCAAAGTGTAGTAATTTTACTACACAAAAAATACATTGTTTTTGTGTAGTAATTTTTGTGTAGTAGTTTTGTGTAGTAATTTGTGTGTAGTATTTTTGGCAGTTGTGTAGTAATTTGTGCATTTTTACAACACATTTTTGTGTAGTAATTTGGCCAAGATTTCATTTTGTGCTGTGTAGTAATTTTTGTGTAGTAAATTTTGTGTAGTAATTTGGGCGTGTAGTAAAATTGTGTAGTAAATTTGTGTTGTTTAGCTAAAACAACTTATTGTTGTTTTTTATGTTTTTCACATTTGTTTTGGTAGTTTTTTCCGCCCAATTTGTTGGAACAATGAGCAGATGTTGATCAAATTTGCGCGTGTCTGCAAGACACACTTCACAATTGTTCTTTTGTTGGATGCGTCACGCGCGGTTTGCCCGGCAAATCGAGCTGTTTCATTTGCACGAACGATGGCCGCGAGGTTTGGCTATATAGCAGACAGCTAGGCTGTCTTGCGGCATCACAGATGGATTTGCAACCGCGGGCAGCCCGTCCCAAGAGGACAACGAAAAAATGCCCCGGGAAATTGCAAGCGACAAAGCATGTCTAAGCGGCTGGCTGGAAATCATTGCGCCTTACAGGACGGGTTGTTGCGCGGCTCCTTGTGTGCCATGTGGTTCCAAATTCAACGCTTGCCATGTTCCTTTCCTGAAGTTTTTACAGAGAGACGCCTACTCGAAACTCGGGACTTCGCGCAGCTCAGCCATGATGAGACTGCATTTGCGACCTGTTGGGGTCAGACCTTCAGATGACTGCAAATGACGGCAGCGCGGAAGGCGAGACGTTCGCATGAGGAAAATACAAACAGTTTGCCGAACTTTGGATTGGTCAAACCACACATGCGTTTCCCGTGCATGCGCGCCATGGAGTACACATGAGCAAACCGTAGCCATTTTGTGGATCACACAGCATGGATACATACAAATGGATGTCGGCTTTGTTTTTCTTGGTGCTAGCCATAGAGATGGCCAGGCTGTTTTGGGACGATGATGATGACGATCGCCCTCCGACATTGCAGAGACCGAGGAGTGCGGTAGAACTTGTGAAACAGTGCCATCGCCGTGTTGAAAGGAACATGTGCCTTTTGTATGTTTGTGCGTTGACCGGGCCGTGCTAATCTGGATCCAGGAGGCAAAATTCATGTGATTCAACTTTTGCAGGAATTAGATTTAGGACATTTTCAGTTTTTTTAACACAGGTTTCAAGTTTGTTTTACATCTTTTGTTGGCTTGGCGGAATATGAGCCCAAAATGAAGCTCTGCCACTGAAAAATCCACGAAACTACATCAACCGCAGCAAGCATTCATTCAATGTAAGAATTTGGGCATTAGATTTACAGTTTTTTTACATTTTTGGTTGCCTTGGCGGAATATGAGCCCAAAATGAAGCTCTGCCACTGAAAAATCCACGAAACTACATTAAGCACAGCAAGTAGATTTAGATTTTCAGTTTTTTTTCACAGGTGTCAAGGTTTTTTTTTTATTTTTTTGGTTGGCTTGGCGGAATATGAGCCCAAAATGAAGCTCTGCCACTGACAATTCCACGAATCTACATCAACAACAGCAAGAATTCATTCAATGTAAGAATTTGGTCATTTCATTTAGGACATTTTCATTTTTTATCACAGGCTTCAAGTGTTTTTTCATATTTTTGCTTGGCTTGGCGGAATATGAGCCCAAAATGAAGCTCTGCCACTCAAAATTCCACGAATCTACATCAACAACAGCAAGAATTCATTCAATGTAAGAATTTTGGCATTTGATTTAGGACATTTTCATTTTTATCACAGGTTTCAAGTGTTTTTTTTTAAAATATTTTTGGTTGGCTTGGCGGAATAGGAGCCCAAAATGAAGCTGCCACTGAAAATTCCACGAAACTACATCGACCACAGCAAGAATTCATTCAATGTAAGAATTTGGGCATTAGATTTAGGACATTTTATCACAGGTTTCAAGTTGTTTTTTTCATTGTTTTGGTTGGCTTGGCGGAATATGAGCCCGAATGTCTACCACAAAGCAGGCAAAATCTGCGCGCGCCTTATGTCTACCACAAAGCAGGCAAAATCTGCGCTCACCTTATGTCCACCACAAAGCAGGCAAAATCTGCACGCACCTTATGTCCACCACAAAGCAGGCAAAATCTGCGCGCGCCGTATGTCCACCACAAGGACGGTAAAAATCAGCGTGCGACAAATGTCCACCACAAAGCAGGCAAAATCTGCGTCCACGACAGAGCAAGCAATATCTGCGCGCGCCTTATGTCCACCACAAAGCAGGCAAATTTTGCGCGCGCCTTATATCATCCACAAAGCAGGCAAAATCTGCGCGCAACGAATGTCCACCACAAAGCAGGCAAAATGTGCGCGCGCCTTATGTCCACCACAAAGCAGGCAAATTCTGCGCGCAACGAATATCCACCACAAAGCAGGCAAAATCTGCGCACGCCGTATGTTCACCACAAAGCAGGCAAAATCTGCGTGCGCCTTATGTCCACCACAGGTTTCAAGTTTTTTACACTTTGAGCCCAAAATGAAGCTCTGCCACTGAACATTCCACGAAACTACATCAACCACAGCAAGAATTGATTCAATGCAAGAATTTGGGCATTTGATTTAGGACATTTTCACATTTTTTAATCACAGGTTTCATTTTTTTAAAAAAAAAATGGTGGGCTTGGCGAAATATTAGCACAAAATGAAGCTCTGCCACTGAAAATTCCACGAAACTGCATCAACCACAGCAAGAATGAATTCAATGTGCCAAGCAAATGCACTCAAATCTCCACACAACGCTGCAAACCTATGTTGAAATTGCACTAACGGTGCAAAAAAAGTGCGCTACATCATCCAAAACTGCATGCAAACTGCCCAACTGCAGGCAAATTGCATTGAAACTGCACTCAAACCGCTCTCAAACTGCTATCGAACTGCACCGAAATTGCAAAAATACACACAAACTACATCCAAACTTCACTCACTGCAAAAGGGCATTCAAAACTTCACTCAAACTTCACTCAAACTTCGCTCAAACTTCACTCAAACTACATTCAAACTGCAAAACTTCACTCAAACTTCACACAAAACTTCACTCAAACTTCATTCAAACTTCACTCAAACTGCAAAACCGCACTCACACAGTGTAGTTTTGCAGTTTGAGTGAAGTTTGAGTGAAGTTTGAATGCAGCTTTGCAGTTTGAATGTAGTTTGAGTGAAGTTTGAGTGAAGTTTGAGTGAAGTTTGAGTGAAGTTTGAATGAAGTTTGGGTGAAGTTTGAATGCCCTTTTGCAGTTTGAGTGAAGTTTGGATGTAGTTTGAGTGTATTTTTGCAATTTCAGTGCAGTTCGATAGCAGTTTGATTGCGGTTTGAGTGCAGTTTCAATGCAATTTGCCTGCAGTTGGGCAGTTTGCGTGCAGTTTTGGATGATGTAGCGCATTTTTTTGCACCGTTAGTGCAATTTCAACATAGGTTTGCAGCGTTGTGTGGAGTTTTGAGTGCATTTGCTTGGCGCATTGAATTCATTCTTGCTGTGTTTGATGTAGTTTCGTGGAATTTCAGTGGCAGAGCTTCATTTTGGGCTCATATTCCGCCAAGCCAACCCAAAAACATGTAAAACATATTTGAAACCTGTGTTAAAAAAACTGAAAATGTCCGAATGCCCAAATTCTGTGGTTGATGTAGTTTCGTGGAATTTTCAGTGGCAGAGCTTCATTTTGGGCTCATATTCCGCCAAGCCAACCCCAAAAAAGCAAAAAAAAGTAAAAACAACTTGAAATCTGTGATTCAAAACTGAAAATGTCCGCCCAAATTACATTGAATGAGTTCTTGCTGCGGTCGATGTAGTTTCGTGGAAGTTTCCAGTGGCAGAGCTTCATTGTGGGTCACATTCCGCCAAGCAAAAAATGCAAAACAACTTGAAACTTGTGATGAAAAACTGAAGATGTCCTAGATCAAATGCCCAACTTCTAACATTGAATGAATTCTTGCTATGGTTGATGTAGTTTTGTGGATTTTTCAGTGGCAGAGCTTCATTTTGGGCTCATATTCCGCCAAGCCAACCCAAAAAATGTAAAAACACTTGACACCTGTGATAAATTGTCCTAAACCTAATGCCTACATTGAATGAATTCTTGCTGTGGTCGATGTAGTTTCGTGGAAATTTCAGTGGCAGAGCTTCATTTTGGGCTCATATTCCGCCAAGCCAACAAAAATGTAAAAACAACTTGAAACCTGTGATAAAAAATTGAAAATGTCCTAAATCAAATGCCCAAATTCCAACATTGAATGAATTCTTGCTGTGGTTGATGTAGTTTCGTGGATTTTTCAGTGGCAGCTTCATTTTGGGCTCATATTCCGCCAAGCCAGCCAAAATATATATTAAAAACACACTTGAAACCTGTGATAAAATGTCCTAAATCGAATGCCCAAATTCTTACATTGAATGAATTCTTGCTGTGGTCGATGTAGTTTCGTGGAAATTTCAGTGGCAGCTTCATTTTTGGCTCATATTCCGCCAAGCCAACAAAAATGTAAAAACAACTTGAAGCCTGTGATAAAAAACTGAAAATGTCCTAAATCAAATGCCCAAATGAATGAATTCTTGCTGTGGTTGATGTATTTTCGTGAATTTTCAGTGGCAGAGCTTCAGTTTGGGCTCATATTCCGCCAAGCAAACCCAAAAAAAACTTGAAACCTGTGATATTTTTGAAAATGTTCTAAATCTAATGCCCAAATTCTTACATTCAATGAATTCTTGCTGTGGAACTTTCAGTGGCAGAGCTTCATTTCGGGCTCATATTCCGCCAAGCCAACCAAAAAAGATGTAAAAAACAACTTGAAACCTGTGATAAAATGTCCTAAATCTAATGCCCAAATTCTTACATTGCATGATTTCTTGCTGTGGTCAATGTAGTTTCGTGGAATTTTCAGTGGCAGCTTCATTTTGGGCTCATGTTCCGCCAAGCCAACCAAAAAATGAAAAAATCTTGAAACCTGTGATAAAAAACTGAAAATGTTCTAAATCAAATGCCCAAATTCTAACATTGAATGAATTCTTGCTGTGGTCGATGTACTTTCGTGGAATTTTCAGTGGCAGAGCTTCATTTTGGGCTCATATTCCGCCAAGCCAACCAAAAAATGTAAAACAACTTGTGTGAGCGCTGTCTGCTCTGTATGATATGCAAAAGACACACAGAGGAGTCGGACTGCTGGCGTGCAAGAATGTGTGAATCATGTGAGGCCGCATGTGCTTGATGACAGTTAATTTTGCCACAAGAGGTCGCCGCAGTTGCATGCGCGCCGCAAGGATGTCACACGGCAGTTGTGAATGAATGGTTGGCAGCCTCGTTTTGTGTCTATGACACAGTGCTCAAACAAAAAAGGACACGCGCGCTGCCCGGCAACCCTCGTGTGAAAAGATGGCATTGGTTCCGGCTCCAGCCTCCTCCCAACTGCCAGCGAAGCTTACCGTTGGCACGTCGGCGGCCTTCGCGCGTGGCTACGCCTTCAACTACACGTTGGCACCAGCGACCTGTTGAAAAGCAAACCACAAAGTTGTCTCTTGCGAGTTAAGACCAACTCTACTTTGCTGGATTTGGGCGCGTAATACTTTTTTGCCTGCGCATCGGCGAGGGCTGTGTCATTTTCTGCCTTCTTTTTCAAGCCACACACTTATACTAAGCGAGGACAAAGCAAGCCAACATGCCTACTGGGACTGCCAGAAGGGCACAGACATCGCAGCGGACGGCGAGAAGCTGTTCCTCATGTGGGACGATGGCGAGGGCATGTGGATCGCACACCATGGGACTTCCACCAAAGCCACCGTGAATCTACGCCAGGCAGTCTTTGGCTTCAAGGGGAACTTCTTTGAGTGTGGATGGCGCAAATGGGCTTCTCAACTCCACGCGCTGGCATATTTTCGTTTCTCTTTTTTTCTGTCGCGTGGTTCCGGGTCACATTGTGCAAAACGCAGCGTCATGCCCGCTTGGAAGACTGCCCGAGGTCTTAAATGAATCGGTCACTACGGACCCCGAAAATACTGAGTGCGAGCATGAGATGCCCGCGTCCCGTGAGCCCTTTTTCTGTCAAAGTACAGACACAGATGATGCAGCCGGACTGTTGATTCTGCATATGATGCCGCCACACACAAGATTGTTTGCTGTGAATAGTTTTCACCCAGTGTACAATTGTGTGCTGACCAAACTGTTCTGTTTATTAAAAGAAACACCAAATTGATAGCTGTTGTTGTGCGGAAAGCCTCTGTGTGCTCATGTTTACCCATCATCTGCAGACACAGCCGCAAAAGACCCGGCCGGCACAGAAGTCCAAGGCGACAAAAGACCCGCGCACGGAGCTTGCAGCTTTCCTGTGTGTGACGTTCTTCCACACACAGCTCGTGTCGACACACATCCTGACGACGAATCTATAGCGCCCTTCCACAGTTGTCTCACTGCTCATGCCGCACCTTCCTTCACGAAACCTTTTTTCCCAGCTCCAGTTTCAACCCACAAGATCAAATGACGGGACTGGGCTCCATTTAGCTCAAGTTCCGCCACAAGACAACCTTGAAGCCACCGAAAGGATAGGTAAACAAACTTGAAACCTGATAAAACTGAAAACGCCCTAAATCTTTAATGAATCCAAGAATTAGCTAAATTTAAGAGTCGTGAGACATAGGGTTTCTGGAGGGATGTAGCGTACAGGTACGGTGCAGGTCGGTAAAGTGGTACAGTCAACAGGTACGACTGGTACGGTTAAGCGGTACGCCTGGTACAGTAATAGGGTGCGCCTGGTACGGTACAAGGGTACGACTGGCACGGTACAAGGGTACGACTGGTACGGTACAACGGGACGACTGGTACGGTGCAAGGGTACGACTGGTACGGTGCAAGGGTTCTATAATGAATCCAAGAATGCCCCAGATTCTTATTTGCCGACTTTTTCCCAACCCCCGCACACAGTTTCAACCCACCAGATCGCCCTTCAAGAGTCATGTTTTTTTTTGCGCTGCTCTCATGCATCTATGGCGCCCTTCCACAGTTGTCCCACTGTTCAGCCGAATCTCCCTTTAAAACCTTTTTGCCCAGCTCCAAAATCAACCCCCACAAGATCAAATGATGCGACTGGGCTCTATTTCCCCAGCCCCAGACAGTTTCAGCCCGCAAGATCACCTTTCCTGTCATGTTTTTTGGTGCAGTTCTTGGGAATCTATAGCGCCCTTCCAGTTGTCCCACTGATCATGCCGCATCTCCCTTCAACACCTTTTTTGCCCAGCCCCACAGTTTCACGACTCACAAGATCACACTTCTATAGCGCAATACTCAGCTCGCAAGGTGATCGCACAAACAATGAGACTGGCAGTTGTGGGTGACTGGACATGTTGTGCTACATAGTTGATTTATCTCTCGTTGTGTTCCAAATTGAAAAAACTGGCGCCCCACCTCTTAAAAAATGTAGATTTGATGAAGTTTGATGTAGTGTTGATGTGTTTGATGTAGTTTTGATGCAATTTAGTATAGTAGTTTTGATGTAGTTTGATGCCGTTTGCATGCAGCTTAGATGTAGTTTGATGTGCTTTCGATGCAGTTTGTCTGTGGTTTGGTGTAGGTTTGACGCGCCTCGGAAACTGGCAAAAACAACGCCAACGCAGTTTGAACGCAGTTTGGATGCACTTTGGAAAATTCACCAAAATTTACTACACAGAAAATTACCAACACAGTGTAGTAAAAATGCTACACATTTGTAAAACATGTGTAGTAATTTCGTGTAGTAAATGTGTGGTAAAATTGCCCATTTTACTACACAACGATTTTACTACACAAAAGCCATTTTTGTGTAGTAATTGTACGCGTGTAAAATGTAAAATTACTACACGTTGATCCTTCAGGTGAGGTCTGGCAGGCTTGGGTGTTCAAGGTATCATTACTTACTGCAGTTTCAACCGTAGCCATTTTGGCTCAAGGTGTTGATCCAAACTGGCTAGTTGAGTTTTCTGTCTCAGGAGTGACCTGAATGGCAGGTACTCATGTTGCCGTGCACACGGAGCGCCAGGTCCTTTCGCCTGCGGCTTTCATGGACTTCCGCTGCTGCGTGGTGGAGAGACCGCCCAGGCGTTGGGGCTCTGGGGCTCCGTGGTGGAGATTCGCCGGAGCAGGGGCAATTGAGAGTGGGTTTCCGGCGTGGCTGGACGAAGCCAGGGATGGAGTTACCTTCTTCCGATTTTTCAAAGGTTACCAGGATGGTCTTCAAGGAGCCATGGTTTGCCTATGAGTCTCGGGGAGGGGACTCTGCCTGCGATTCGAAGCTCAAGTTAGTTAGTTGGCCAAAGCTACAGGAAGCCAGGTGCGAGCCACGTGCCAGGGAGCCTCATCAGGAACAATGACCTCAAATTCGCTTTTGAGAACTTCGAGGATGCGCAGATTGCTCCAGACTCTCACGCGCTGGTTTGACCAGCTGCTCAGCGGCAAAGGTTAAAATATTTTTAGCGGTATGAGTTGCACACTATGCCCGGCTTGACCTTTGCACATGTGAATGCAAGGCCTCCAATTTGCATGGCCCCCTTTGCATTTCGGCTCTCATTTGCATGTGCGCATTCATCTTCTTCGAGCATCACCGACCTTGACACCTGCGGTGGCAAAAGGTCCGCAGCCCCAACCACACACGCAGCGAGTGCGTGTCGAAAGTTTCAAGTTCCGGGAAGTCCTTTGCGCAGCGCGCAATGTGAGATCTCCTTCCTTTCCCAGCAAACAGTGCTCCGGTTTAAAGGGCACCTCAAGCACCTTTGGAGGCCATTCAGCCGCGGGACACGACGAGCGCAAGCCGGCCCAAGCAACCGCCCACAGCGCAGCAGGCGAGTTTGGGGTTCCTTTGAAGTTCCTGTTGTTTTGCACACTTTTCGGGGCGGATATGGATTTTCAAATGGGGGTGTCTTTTCTCACGGATTTCCCTGGATTTTCGGGGAAGGTGGCTTTTTTTGGCGCTGCGATGCTGGGATGGGGCCTCTTTTGGAATCCAACAATGTCAACTGTTGAGGTAGAGGGTTCCGGAACCCCTTAAGGTGTTTTGGGTCAGGCTCGCCCATGAGCGTGTTTTTGCGAGGGTAGGAGAAAACAATGTTTTTTAGACACCCAAATACCTTTAGACCAGCCAACAGCATGCTCACCAGCAATTTTCAATTGCAAGTTGGATGTGCGACATAGAGCTGGGCGCGTGCAACGGCGCAAAGACGTTGGATTTCCAGGGTCAGGAAGTTTGCCGGGAAAGCGAGGAACATTCTAAGCTAACCGTGGTACACGTTGGTGGCTGAGATTTCGGCTCCCCTAGTGCTGGGCAGCTGGGAAACGTGCTCTGGGCAAAATCTGAACATTTCGAGGTTTGTGTACCAAGAGAGAATTGAGTTTGAACGCATGCTTTTATGAGCTTTTGTTTGCTGTAGCCTTGAGTTCTGACTCTCAGGCTTTTTTCGTGGCTTTCCCTAATTTCATGTGGATGCCCGTTTTGTTCAGTGCTAAAGGCGTTGCAGCCAGAGGCGCAGAAGCTTTGGCCCCCAGTCCCCGTTCCCGAGGTGAGCGTCGTGGCCGAGGGCTCAGGTTTCGCAAAGAAGCGAGCCCCGTCGCTTGTTCTTTCCCGCCTTGTTTGCGGGGGGAGTTCTGATGGCTAAGTAATTGCATATATCTTTATTGCTTTATGGGCATCATTCTTTTTATGTTTTGCAACCCACCAACTCTACTTACTTAGGCCCTTATAGTACATACCACGCATACCGCGGCGGCTTTTTTTGCTTCACAAGACGTTGGCAATCGTCGCGGCTCGGTTAAAGCTTGCCCGGGCGCTTTTGTGCAGTGATGTTTTAAGGAGGAGATTTTTGGGCATGGTTCCCACCAACATGAAATAGGGAATGTGTGTTTTACACCCATTTGCTTTCCACATTGGCACCAAACCATCTCCCCAAGTCAAGAATTCCTGAGGCGTCCATTTCTGTTTCTGCCGGATGGTCTTCGGAAATGGGCGGCCAGTTGAGAAAGCCAGTGGCTTCCTTTTAGTGGCCATCTTCCCCCTCGACAAAACTACGAATTTCCAACAGACAGAGCCAACCTCATCCTACCACAGCTCTTTGAATAGGAGCCTGTACAAAGCGTGAGGGCGATAAGTTACACAATTTTGTTTGTGTCCAACGCCCTTGCAATATTTGGGTCATCCACTGTAGGATGAGCGTGAGTGATGTGAACCGAGAAAGCTACGGACCCCACCCCTTGGAGACCCCCAACAGCCGAATCAGTTGGCGCAGACCACGCCGTTGAGGCTTTGGAATTTTGGACTTTACTTACCTGTTTTTTGAGACCCTAAAACCAAACACTCGGGGCCTGAGAAGCCAGGACTACGAGAGCACACAAGAATCCGAATTTGAAGAAAACATAAACGTCTGTATAATCCCTGTGCATGATAGCGGGCTTTCCCATCGACGTGGGTTTTCAGGTTGAACATAAGTTTGAGGAGGAGGCCCCTAACGTCCCACCAATACAAGAGATGCGGGGTGGCCCCATTTTCCCATGTCTGTCCCGTGTCAGGTGAAGGCCATGCGGAACAATCAGAAGCTGGCGCAGGGTTGCCCTGCGGTTCAGGTGTGTCTCGGGGTGTCCAACAGTGGGTGTCTTTTCTGCGCCCTTTCAAACAACCCGAAAAGGGTCCCTTCCCTTTTTCATTTGGCTGTGAGTCAAACCCCTGACGTATTGGGTTTTAAGGGGTGCACCTTTCGTTCAATACCCCGTTCAGTCAGTGTACAAGTATCGGACCGGTTGTTGGCTTTCGTTCAGTGCCTGCCGTTCAATCTCCCTTGAGCATCAAATGTTTTGTTGGTCTAAGTAGTCCGCAGACTATCTAAAGCCGTGTGCTCGGTCCAAGTAGTCAAATGGCACGCACGCAGAGACACAGAGAGACACACATGGACACAAAGAGACACACAAAGACACCGAGACGCACAGAGACGCACGTAGAGAGACACACAGAGACACACAGAGACCCACCACACACATTCAGACACACAGACATACAGACACACGCGCTAATACACATACAGACACGCAGGCAGACACACACACAAACACAGAGACACACAGAGACACGCAGCGATACCGACGCACCGACACACCGACACACCGACGCAGCGACGCGCGCGGACACACCGACACACACACACACACACACCTGTGGCACTTCTCGGAGGAAAGTACTTTCACGCCGACTTTCCGTCATCTTGCAGAGACCTCTGACTTCTCGAAGGATTGAAAATGAGAAAAGGTCACAGCCCTTCTGCGCCAACACATCTTTTGAAACATGGGATCGGCCCGTAGCCGCCCTTGTTCATGCGACAAGCAGGGCCAGGTGAGCCAAAGCACACCTTGCAGGCAAAGTAATAACTGTGTTCACTCAGTTGTGTTTGATGTGTTTCTTGCGCGGGATATTTTGGCCCCAAGACACAGGAGGGCGATCAACGACATGCATGCTGAGCATCATGTGCAGTTTTCACTTGGCTTTTGGCTTGGTTTGATTTGCCTTGCTTGGATTGCGCATGATGTCTCTGCATGTTTGGCGTTTGGCATGTGTTGGGTTGCCCTTGTGTTGTGCTTGGGGGGTCGGTTAACTTGCTCGCCATGTCCGGCGCGGGTGAGCAATGGCCCCTCGCGCCTTCGCAGTTTGGTGCAGCCTCCGGTGGCGCGGTCACGGAGGTCGCGGATCTAGCGATGATGATTGGAGCACGTGGAAGGGGGGCCAGGACACGCCTCTCCCCCTTCTTCGCCTCCACTTGTGGAGGACAGTGATGGCGAGGGCTCGCACCTTCAGTCGAAGGCTCCCTCGGTTCTGCCTGCGCTGCAGATTGCTATCCGTTGCAAGACGCAGCCTTCCCCGCGAAAGGCCCGAGGGGTGCGTTCAAGCTCCTCAGCCGCGTCCCCTGCAACCAGCCGTCATCCACGACAGCCTCAACTTCGGCAACTCCCAAGATGGGCCCTTCCCAGCGCTCCAACGGCTCCAGCTCGGCCAGACCAGCACCGCCCCCCGCCTGCCCCTCCTGGAAACTTTTGTACATTAATGCTCGGACTTGCAGGTCAGCTTGGAGTTGACATGTACCATATGGGCAGACAATGCCGGATTGCATTTTTGCGTTGATTGCCCAATCTATCCAGCCACAAAAAAGGCCTGTCGTGCGTTGGTCGCATTGTGATTGCATCGTGCAGCGCAGGTTACTTGTACGCCCTTTCCTTGCCTTGCAGTTGCCTTGGCTTGAATACACACATGCTTTCATTTGCGGCACATGAGGGTTGAGTTGTTGTGCGTGTTGGGCGACTTGGTCGGGCTTGAATGGGTTTTTTGGGTCCCCCCTGGTTCTTCAGATTGGGAGGACTTGAAGCTATCAATTTAGTGGAGTCCTCCTCGGACCCATGGATTGAGTCATGCCACTTCGCGATCCCTCTGCTTGGTAGGTGGGATTCTTTTCGGGGCCCAACACGGGAGGGGGGCTCGATTTTGGACCCGGACTTGCAGTTCACGCGGTGCCAGATTGCATTTTTGCGTTGGTTGCCAAATCTATTCAGCCGCAACAAGAGGCCTGTCTTGCGTTTGTCGCCTTGTGATTGCATCGTCCGTTGCAGGTTACTGACACACCCTTTCCTTGCCTTGCAGTTGCCGTGCCTTGGGTTCACACATGCTTCGATTTACGGCAGATGAGAGTTGAGTTGTGGTGTGTGTTGGGCGTGCTCGGTCAGGGCCTTCACGTCACAGGTTATTTAACTTGACGCCCTTGATACGCACCAGGCCGCATTTGCTTGCGCCATAGCATTATGTCTCTTCAGGATGGTTTACCTCTGGGGCATCCAGCTGTCCCGAAGTTTCTACCCCAATTCGTTTGGGACAAGACTGCATCCGTCCTTCAGCTCCAGCCATGTGCGACCATTTGGGTCCACTTGGCCCACTCAAACGATGACAGTCGATGCGCCCCCCCAACCAGTAGCTTCCCGACCTGGCCTGTACCGTCACACCCTTCGACCATCGCAGAGGGACGGCAAGGGGGCTTCACTTCTGGGGAAGCATTTGTTGACTGAGTTGGGTTCCATTTCGCCTGCGCAATGTTCAGTTTCCTTATTCGCAGCGGAGCCCCCCACTGCCGTGAGAAGCGCTGGATGTCTCTATGCAATTCTTAATTGCCTCTAAAGGCTGCTGGCCGCTGGACTCACACTTCTCTCGATATGGATCTTTTTTCTCTCGATATGGATCTTTTTTTGGGGCTTCGGTCCTGTGAAGGAGTTTGGGTTGTGGGCCTTGGGAACTTAATGACGACAGGGGTCCGTTTCTCTGGCAGATTGGTCGGTGCCACACGAGGGCAACAACGTCTTTGCGAGTTTGAGATCTGTTTCGGTTCAATTTATCTTGGAGTCTCGCCAAGATCACAGGTTTGTCGCTTCAGTTTCTAGTGTATCAGAGGCCTCGCCTTCTTCGCCGCGGATCGCTAGCATGTGCTCTTTGCTTCAGGAACGGAACAGATCCGCTCCTCTTGAAGTGGCGGACCACCAACTATATCGGTCGGCTGTTGCAGACAGCGAGTGAGCTCACTTTGGACCCAGACGCGCGCTTGCACGAGTGTCTGCTTTCGCGGGTTTCTGCGGGTTTCCAAGGAGGTTTTCTTCCCACGTGACACCCTGCGACCCGATTTGGAAGTCCACATGCAGAACTGGAGTAGTGCTTGGACCCAGCATGGTTGGCGGAACTAGTCCAACAGGAAGTGGGCCCGGCATGGTTGGAGCCTTTTAATAGCCCCCTGGCAGAGGCGCAGGTGAGGTGGCCTTGCGGGTCGGTGTTGTCAAGATGGCTGTAGTCCACTCACACAGGAGCTGCTCCGGCGGCGTTGAATAATGCGAGCGTGGGGGACACAAAAGGTCCTTGCACAGGGTCACCAACCAAGACGAAGCACTAGGTGGCCCAGCTAGAAAGCACCAGCGGGATCCCAACAGGCAGTGGACACTGATTAGCTAATGCTTGAAGAATAGCATCATTTTTGTCTCTGGCCCACCGGCCACCGCCATCTTCCTGGGCGGAAAACTCGTCTCAGCCAAGCGTGTCCCGCTATTTTGCAAGGCGGGCTTGACTAAGGTGGCGCTGACCCGCTAAATGATTTTCGCTAAGGATTCAGGATTCCGTTTCTCCAAAGCGCAAGTTGTCAGCAGGGAGCCGCCGGCTTCTGGAGTTGTGGCCTTCCTGGGTTACACGTGATGTACCTCTTCGCCCGGCAACCACAGCTTTCGGTTTCAGGCTCACCGTACCAACCTGACGCAACGAAGCTGTGGTATGGTGCGGGAGGCGTGAGCTGATCTGCCACGTGCACCTGTAGTGATATGTGTGATTTCAGCCGTTGGTTCGCTGTTCTTGCTCTTCTTCCTGTGGACACAGGAGGGCTACCTATTCCAAAAGGGAAACCCGGTTTCCCTTCATCCCTTCAACACCTAGAGGCGCCGGTGTATTTGCTGGAAATGCAAGAGCTGTAGACCTTGTGAAACCTGCTCACAGCTCAAGCAACCGAAACCCTGCCGAACTCCGTTTTGGAGAAGGGGAGAAAACTCAGCACCAACTCTTCGACACTAAGGTCGGACGAGGGTAGTCCTTCAAGGACCAGCGGCAAAGCCCCGACTCAAAGCAAAAGAGTCCCTACATGGACTACAAAAACACATGTCGACTCTAATGTCGATCGACGAAAGTCCTTGCAGGACTCGCCAGAGGCGAAACAAGCCTGCGTGTCAAAGCAAGTCACATTATCCATGTTGTTTGCATGGAGCATGGAGAAGCGAATTTGCGGGAGTATCTTACCGTCGGGAAGTGAAGGGCTTTATTTCTGATCAAGGCGCGAGAAGGGGCCCCTGCGGGGAGAAGCCCAGCGTTCGCGCGGCGCTGGCTGATGTGCCTGGAGCTAGATCTCGGGGTGAGGTTTCGAATCGAATCTAGCGCTCGTTTGGAACGCAAGCTCACAGGAATGCATTTACAATGCCTTGCAAGCCGCGTGTAAGGCTAGTCCGGCGCGGCTTTAGAAGCAGCTGTCACTAGGTCTGCGGGCGAAAAGCAGACGGTGTGCGGGCTTCGGCTGCCCTGGCGCTGGGTGAGCTTTGAAGAAGGCTTTGGCACTCCGTGTGTCCGCTTCTGAGAGGAGTGGCAGCCACTTGGAGGTGCTGCGCGCATCACTGAAGCGTTGAGGTCCTGGCTGCACGAGCTGATGCTTTCTTGGATCTGCCCGTTCTCATCTGCCTTTGGCTGTGCGGCGGGCCGGCTAGAAGGCTGCTACTGATTCCGTGCCGCCCGGCTTCCCGCGCGCAGCCGCCCGTCTGCCGCGTCATGAAGCGTGAGTTTTCGCGCCCGCTCGCAGCTTACCAGGTCGGCTTCGGAAAAAGCAGGTGGACCCTTCGCAGCCTTGATTGTTTGGCCTGGTTGTCCGCACACTCTATCACCCTTGTCACGCACAAAGGTAGGCTTTGCCTTAGAGAACTGGGATCTCAGGGTTTCGGTTTCCCAGTGCCCGCTATGGTGGCTAACTAGGAGAAGCCATCCCAAGGACAGGGGCATCGCCGGCTGTCAGCTGTGGCAGTTGCTGGGACGAACAACATCTTTGCCTCGGGCAAACTGAGGAGGTGTCCCCGCAATCTCCAGAGACACGCACTCATGATTCAATTCATTTTATTGAAGTCTGGACTCAGTGGATGCGAAAGCACTCTTTTCTATTGCGCCTGCTTGTGAGATACGTCCAGGCGTACCCCCTGGCCTGCACGTGCCCAATTAGCGGCGATCGTCGCCCAATGCGATGTACTGGCACCGCGTACCCGCGCAACAGACACGCATCCTTTTCGCCGCACCAGCGCCTCGCACCCGCAAGATGGATACCTGCGTTCCGCACCTGCCACACGCACCTTGTTCTTTGAGATTTCATCACGCTTACTTTGTAAAACCACGACTCTTCAACAAACGTAGGTTGGTGTTTGGGCGGATTCGCTGCACCAAGGCCGCTCTTGGAGAACTTTGGGTCTCAGGACAGGCTTGAAAGGTTTGGGGTTGGGCATGTGGGTTTACCTCCAGCTCTGGAACCCATCTGGCTTCTCTCCTGTTTTTCCCGTGAAGGCCCTTGAAAGCAACCCCAACAGAGTACGAAGGCGCAGAGCATCACGAAAAGACACACCCAGATGCTTGTGTAGAAAAAGTGCGGGTCTTTCAAGGCACTTCTGGATTGTTTTAAATGTCGCGCCCGCCCGTCGCTGACGCAACTTGCGCGAGAGCCGTGGTGAATGCCACCCACACCCTCGTGCTAACTGCTTTCCACAGAGCGTGTGGGGTTCGAAGCTCCGACTTTCGAACCGACAAACAAAGGCGCAAAAAAGGCTTCCTTTGGGCTCTCGCGGGCGACGGGCGCTCGAAGGCCTTGCAGAATGGAACGCAGACTTACCAGCAGTGGTGGTCAGGCATAGATGTGGAACACTTGGCTTCAGGTTCTGGAAATTGGGTATGTTAAGGGGACGTTTCCTTTGGTTTCCAACCGGACCAACCTGAACAAGGTAATGACCCTCAAAAATAAACAGACACACACGGACGAACACGGACCAGAACATGAACACGAACATGAACACAAACACACCGTTTTCAAGGTGCCTCCATTGCTGTCGGTCGATTCACGAACGCACTAACTGGAGTTGTTCTACCTAAACTTTGTTCAAGGGGTGTGGGGGGGGGGGGGAAGGCCAGAATGGCTCTGTCCTTCTTTTTTTTTGAAAATTGTCACGGGAAGCTCTGTAGCGTCGCATTGTTTCTGCGCGCAAAATGTCTGACCTGAAGGTGCGCGAGTCCGTGTGTGTCGGGCCTCGCCGGGCCTCCCGTTGCTGCATTACACGACGGGGAACAGCAAAGCAGCAGTCGGGGCGGCTGAAAACGGCAACGGGAGGCCGACATACGCAAAACCAACACTTGCGCCGGGCTCCCGTTGCGAATTGTTTGTCGTGTCCTGCAGCGGCGGGGGGACGGCGTCGAGCAACAAGCCGTTTCGGCAGGTGCTATCCGGGCCCAACACGGGCCAGCGCTAGGCCGCGAGTCTTGTTCCGGGTTTTCCGTTGCTATGTTGCGCCCCTTTTGCTTCACAGCCGCGTGCGGCGGCCCAGCGGCGGTCCAGCGGGGCGACTAAGCCCCAACCAAGCCCGAAACGGCATGGCGGCGACGGTTGCTCCAGGTGTTGATTTATGTGAATATTTGTGCTCGTTTTGCATCCTGCTGTTCCCCAACCGTGTCCGTGACGCAGTGCGGGGTGGGAGCCGGGTCGCAAGTTCGCCTCATTTTTCGCTTCTGCTGTTTCGCAGCTGTGTGCTGCAGGCCCAAAGCCGAAACGAGCCTGAAACGCACCAACTCAGCACTTCTGCCGGGTTGTTGCGAATCTGTGCGTTGGCCTCCCGTGGCCGTTTTGCGTGCTTGCTGCTTCGCAGCCGTGTGCCGGCTCGGTGGCGGCGCAAAACGGTAACGGGAGGCCTGAACGAGGCCGACGTGCCAATTCAACACTTTGGCCGGGGGCTCGTTCTGGGCCTCCATTGCCGTTAATGTGGGGGTAAAGTGTTCGACGATGTCCGGCTCAAGAAAGCGAAGAACGCGACAAATGCAATCCCTCTGACAAGTGTTCCCCAGTTTTGTTGACATTCATCTTGAGCTAAATGGTGTCCGTTGAGCGTTGTTTCTACAAACGACGCCGTCTGATGCCTCTTGGTAACAACGGCAAGAAATGGGCCCCGATTCGGTGAGAACAGCCGCCGCGATGGCAATTGAACCCACCACATCCAATCAGGAAAATTGCGGGAATTACAGGTTTTTTTCGTCCCTTACTGGCAATGTACTGTACTACCACAATGGTTGAGATCGGAAGGAGCTGGACCAGATTGCAGCGGCTGCCGCTCCACAGCAGGCGGAGATGCAAAGTTGCGGGTCTGCTTGAAACTAGATAGGGCCTGGTTGGTGTCCTTCCGTGTTTGCCAGGTTTGCCCATGATCAACCTCAAAAAAGGCTCCTTTTTCTTATGTCACTCAGCATGTGGGCCACTGATGGAATGGTGATTTTGGAGAAGTGGGTTGGGAGTAGAAGTCACAGGCGTCCTTTCGTGTTCATTCTAAACATCGATGAGTTCCAGTGTTTTAGTGGGACAGTGGGAAGGGCTCAAGCTGTAGCTTGGTGGCCTTAGTGGGCCTTCATTTGTTGTAGCCCACGACGTCTTTAGCCTCCGCTCCGGAGCCATTCGTGGCGCCGGAACCCTCGTGGCGCAGGCGAGGAGGCGAAGATTGCGATCGCGCTTTCGGCTGAGAGCGTCCAGCGCGGGGCTTCTCGCCCTTGGACCTGGAGAGGAGGAACGCCTCTTCTCACCTGCGCAGCCACCACTCCTGGCCTATGCGCGCATCATGGACCTGCCCCTCATGCTGGGCAGAGCCGCCCAATGCGGCAAGTGTGGCAAGGCATGGTGGAGTTCCAAGCATCAGGGCGGGGAACCATGGAAGTGGATGGCCGCCAGCAAGCGACGCAGCTCCAACAGAAGGCGTCGGAGTGCAGGGAAGGGCCAAGCTCAAGGAGGTGGCAAAGGAAAAGAGGAGAAGGGCGAAAGTCCACCCCCCTCGTATCACCATGCCGCTATCTGGTCTTCGGTGCGGTCATTGTCGGCTGCCTCATCGGTGCAGCCGCCGGCGGAAATGGCCGAGCTCATGCAGTCCTTGCGAAAGGCGTACATGGACACCCTGATGCCGGAAGGGGCGAAAGAGATCCTGGACAGAGCCGGGCAGTTGGAAGGACGCAACCTCACCAAGGACCTCGGCATTGGGGGCAGCCAGGAGGGTGCTGCAAGAGACGCAACAGGCGGAGAACAACCTGAAGAAATCATGGTTGGAGCACCTCGAGCGCACCTTGAAGCAGTTGGAGACGCAGAAGCAGGACTTCAACAAGAACCTTCAGGAGATGCAGGAGACAGCCAAGAAGGCCAGAATCGAAGTGCGTCAAGCACGGAGAACATTGACTATGCTGAATGCGCAAGCAGCGGCAACCGAAGATGGCAAGTCTCCTCGACTCGGACGTGGAGTTGGTGGCCGACATGGATGTGGACACGAGCGTTGCCAAGAAGCGCACGGGCGAGGACATCCAGGAGATGGAGAAACTGGAGAAGAAGATCATGAATTCCACCTCCGCTTGCGTGCAGAAGGACGGGGCCACCAAGCGGAGGGCGCAGTCGGAACCGCCTGTGGATCAGATCAAGCAGCAGGAAAAGCCGGTAGACCGGCAGACAGCTCCGCTCCAATCTGCAATCTGGAGTCCCACCTGTGACAGGGACGCCAGTCCCTATGTATTCGTGATCCAGCTGCTCAGCGTGTGAAAGCACGGAGCTGTGTGGAGTGTAGCCGGCCAGCTCGCAAGGTTAGCTTCTTGCCCGTGGCGGAGGAGCTTGAGGTCTTCATGGGGTTAATCGCACATCCAGCAGCAGATGGCTGTCGTTGACGTCTTGCGATGGTCAATGGAGGGAAGCCCCGTGGAACCCTGGTGTTCACCCTTTTTTCAAGGGAATGGTTTGTGGGAATGGAACCATTCCGTGTGCTCTGAATGGGATTTCGTGAGCGCCTTTGACGCACAGGGTAGGGCCTTGCATTTGCAGCTTGAGCTGCAATCGGATGAGATTGTCGAGGACCTAAGAAGGTTTAAGACCCTGGACATCGGCTATTGATTCTCATCAATAGATATCAGTATGTTTTTTTTTATTGATATTGGTTTCGTCGGTTTCTACTGATATAATCATTTTTTTGAGCCCGTATTTTAAGACTTTATTGATTTGACACTGCATAGCTTCTATTGATTTGGGCGCTGTAGTTTCTTTTGATTTGGATCATGCAGTTTCATCTGCAGTTTCTATTGAGCGCCAATTGTGTTTTGTTGCGATGGACAGATAACAGGCGCGTTGCATTCGCTATTTGATTTGCGCGCAGAGTGGTTGCTTGCCATGCTGACCTCGCACAGTTGCTCCGTCGGAGTCTGGTGACCCATGCCGGAGCGTGGGTGAAAACTCGGGGTGTCACTGTCATATGCCACAAAAGCTGACCCAGCAGGCCTGTCCCCTTTTCCTTTTCAACCTGGAAATTTGCAATCAGCGTCACCAGCCCAATGGCCGTGCCCTCCACATCTGAGGCACTTGCTTCTCTTCTTTAGCTCCTGCAGCTTGGATTGGCGTTGCTCCAGTGTCAGGTGTGACCGGACCAGCTTTCCTTTGCCTTTTCCTTTTGGTCCTTTTCCCCCTTTTCCTTTCACCTTGCCAGAGGCAGCATTCGCCGCCAGCTGCAACTGAATGGCTTCTCCGATGCTGAGCGGATCACTGCTCTCACCATCCAACTCTTCCATGGCATTGAGAGCGGTGGCCTCGCCCTCGTCACCTATTTCTTTCCAATTCTCCATAATCGGGCACCTGCTCCGGATCAGTCATCGGTGTTCTGTCGACACCACCGTCCGCTGTGCACCCGTAACTCTCCTCACATTCTACTTCTTCATGCGGATTCATGCGCTCTCCTTCTTCCCATTCTGGATACCCTGACCAAGCAGGAAGTGCGGACCTTCGCCAGCAACCACTACCCGCCGCCTTTTCCTGTTGAAGATGGGCCCAGCACACGCCCTTCTCGAAGGTGTACTCCGCCATAACTCCTGATCAGGGCCTCTTCAACCTTGCCCAGTTCTCTGCTGCCTTCCGAACAGGCTCTGATCACAAGGATCTCTTGATGCGAGATGTTTGCCAGTTCAAGCATCAATTCTGAACGCATTTGCTCAGACAAGGATAGCGTTGGATCCATCTCCACAAGGGTCCTCCACCATCTGCGCCTTCGTGAAATGTACGAGATCATGCTCTCTCCTCTCTGCCGGGAAAGCGCTCCTTGCGGTTTCTGACCAACACGAAACAGCTCACGGGCTTCCTCAGTGGCTCTTGGAAAAACCATGTCCCTCATTTGCTTGATCAGCATCTCGATACCTTGTGGTTCACTCAAGGCATCAAGTCCGAGATCACGGGCCACCAAGAACGCATCGCCCCAGAGTCCTTCGACAATCCGGCGAGTGAGCTCCGTGTCCCTAAAAGCCTCCTTGGCCTCAGCTTCTGCAGAACCTTCCTCGCCTTCTTGTCCTTCCTTCGCAGTCCGTTTGGCTGCCTTCCTGGTCCTCAGAAACTCGGGCGAAGCATGGTGCGGAATTCCCAATCATGGAAACCTGCGGGGTCTCCACCATAGATGTACGAACCACTCCGAGTTTCACGAACGCCGTGGCCCGGACTGAAACGAAGTCCGGCCACTGACATGGCCTACCGCCCTGATTTGCAACCAACGCTCCGCTACCAATGTGAATGTAGCAAGCAAATCGGGCGCTCGATTCTCCTATCACCCGCTATGACTCAAGGGCCCTCAACCAGAATGGCCCAGTCATGCACTACATGTTCAACACCCTGGCTTCAATCTTCAATCTATACAAATCACAGGGAGAATTGACAGCAAGTTTTAAGTAGAAAAGTAGCATGCGAAGTACGCTCCAGCTCCGGCCTGAGAGTCGCAATTTTTAGATAGAAAAGTAGTACGCAAAGTGCACTCCCGCAGATCCGGATTGCAAAAAAAGGAGGCAGGGAGGGAGGGAGGGAGAGAGAGAAAGAGAGAAAGAGAGAAAGAGAGAAAGAGAAAGAGAGAGAGAGAGAAAGAGAGAAGAAAGAGAGAAAGAGAGAAAGAGAGAGAGAGAGAGAAAGAGAGAAAGATAAAGAGAGATAACATCATAGATATACCCCAACATTATTGCATCACCTTTCTCATACACGCTTTCGGGATAATCGGTGTCTAGTTTCAATCGGCCGAGCAACGCCGCAAGGGGCCAATGCCCTAAGGTGCCTGGCGCAGTTTGGTTTTCCAAATTTTTGGGCTTCTACATTACGCCGCCTATGCCCCGGAGGCAGGCCCATGCCATGGTCCAAGACCAGCTTGGGGTAGGCAATGGACACGGGGTCAGACAAACCCAACCACTTGTGCGGAGCTTTCGAGTTGAGCAAGGCCATGGAAGCTCAGATTGAGGAAGGGAAAGGAGCACTTTGAGCTTTCCTCAGTGGATTGGCCCCAGAAAAATCCAAACGTTTGGGTTGCCGCTAAAAAGGTCTTCCCAGACAGCATTAAGCCCAGAAACTTGGGGAAAGAGAGTATTACTGCCCCTGGTCCTCGAGGATCCCTTCAGCTTCCGCGTCGTCCTCTCTCGAAGCACGATCCGGGAGCAGGGGGCCCTCTCGCCTTACCCAGGGAAGTCGATGGGGGCGATCCCGCAACTTGAGCTCTTCAGAGTCGTCGACCTTGATCTGCTCCGTCATGGGATGCATCTTCGCTTGCTACCATCGAAAGCAGGTTTCATCATGGGAAGCCAAATGCTGTCTAAGCCTGTTCCGGTCATGGAAATCCCGCAAGCACGCTACACAGGTCCAAACATGAAACGCCTCAGCCATGTGAGGTGGCCGTGCGCCCTCTAGCCATGAAGACGAAGCTGCCTTCGATGGAAACTTCTTGGTGCAATCCCTGCAAGCCCAAGCCAACGCACGGCTGGGTTCCCGCGGGGCTGGCTCTTCCACCCGAATCTCAGCAGCTCGCAGATCCTTGACATACTTTGCCTCCCACTCAATCCGATCAACATCTTTGGCTTTCTGCCAAATCTGCTTTTGAATGGCGCGGTTCACCCTGCTCGCCCACCGATGATGGCTGCCGACAGCAAAGTGAGAAGCAGATCACAGGAGGGCTCCGGCATGCGGACGAACTCGGGCTCAAACTTGTATCGTGCAGTAATGCGCACGACCTGCTGGGCCTGGACCTGAAGCTGATTCATCTCTTCCAAATGCAACTGCCGTCGCCAAGAAGTAGCCTGTGCTCCAGCTAATCG